ATAAACATAAAATATAATTTTATTAAAAATATTATGGTAATTTAACATTAAAATATAAAAAATATAATATGAAAAACACTTTTTTTTTAGTACGGTGTGAAATTTTTTAACCCAACATATAATAATAAAAAATAAAAAATTAATACCCATCTCCATTACGTTGAGAAGAACATGAATTAGAATGGTCAAGAATGGCAGGTTATAACAGGCTGGAAAAGTTGACAAACCAAAGTCCCAAAACCTGTATAAAATTACATCACTGTCTCTTTTTTTCGTCGTTTTTACACTACAACTCACACTCCAAACACTGTTTATAGCATAATAAAGAAGCTGAACTCAGCTCTTATCTTTCTGAGATTCTTCTCCCTTCTCTTCTCCACAATCACTTCTCCTCTGTTTTTTCTGATCAGGCCCAATTTATATCCCGTGGAGTATTTCTTGAGAATCCCCATATCTCCCTTTAGCCTTTTTGCTTCCTTTTCTTCAAAAGAAAACTTCATTTCTTTCTCTTCTGTTTGTTTCTGCAAGATCCACAAATGGATGTGAGTTCTTCATCAGAAATCCTGAATCTTCTTCTTTTTTTCTTGGTTCCTTTTTGGCTTTGAGTCAGTGTTTTTCGTCTATGTGGGTGCAGGATTATTACTTCAAGAGAAGTGGGCAGATACCGGCGTTTGGGGACTGGGAAAATGCGAATCAGCTGCCAATTACTCAGTACTTTGAGTCCGCCAGACAAGCTGGGCTGCTCCGTTACAGCTCCTCCTCAGGAGACTCTCATCCTTACACCGTCCGGGAAGATTTTTACGCAGTTGATACCAAGAAATATTCCCGAAACCTTGCTGCCGATCCTCCCAGAAAGGTATGTAGCATTTACAAGTACAATTGTTGCATCTTGAATCTCATTTCGGCCAAAAAAAAGAGAGAAAAACTCCCATTTTGGGAAAGCTTTTGTGGAATCTAGAAGTAGAAGTCTGGAACCAAAGTGTTTATATTTTTAGTTGTATCAACATTTTTTAATTTTTTTGAGAATGAAGAGACACAGAGAAGGGAAGAAAACAGGGTAGAGAAGTACAATGTCAATTTGTCACTAATTTTCACTTTGAAACATCATTCTTTCAGTTCTCTTTTCCTTAAATTTCCTTTCCCAAAATTCGAAGAAATAAACCATCTAAGAAAGTGAATGATAATCTTCTTTTGTGTCTAATCAACCCACTTCATCTGAAAATGGGAATGGATCTCTAGCCCCTCAATGCCGGAAAAAAAATTCTTAAAGTGGGAATGACTCAAATAACATCAAGTAATGCATGATGTCATACTCTGCAGACCAAACAAAAAAATTGATGATCTCCAACGACTAGTGGTAAATGGCCACCCATCCAGCAATTTGAATGCAAGGTTTCAAGTTTCAACTCAAGTTACCTTAAGGAGTTAATTACCTATAAAAGTTTAGTAGATTTAGTATTTATTAAAGGAATTTTTTAATTTTTCTTCCCTAAAAGAGTATTTTTTTATTTTAATTAATATTAAAAATATAAAAATTGATATTAGTTCTACAACTAATGGTATGTAAATTTTTTTAGTTAGATAATTAATTATATTAACTAATGTAAAAAAAATATAATAATTATACTTTAAAACATATATTAAAATTTTTTTTATTAAACTTAAATGTAATTCAAATTAAATAAATAACATGTATCTTTCGACATATTTCATCACTTTATAGTTTTTTTCATAAAACAGTTGCTTAAAGTGTTTGAAACATTTCTTTAATTGATATTAATTATTCAATTATTTATTAATTATACTTGTTAACCAATAACTGATATTTTTAACAATTAACTTTAAAACCGAAATATCATACTTCAAAACTTAAACTAAATTTAAACTGTTAGAGGATGAAGTTCACCTCGTACCTAAAAATTCCATTAAGTAATGATTACTGTTCGGTAAGTTTAGGACACTTGTTAGACTACCTATAAAATTGAGAAAAAAAAAATCAAAATTGTCACATTGATGATTACATTTTTGTAATGTGTGGAGGAATTGCAGGCGAGTAGGGCAAGGAACAGGAGAGGACCGCAAATCAAGGAGCAGAAAAGGCAAGGGAAGGTATGCGATTGTGACGTGACCGCACCGCCACGGAAACAAGCACATGCCAAGCGAAACACGCAGCAGATCCAAAACGACGTCGATGCGCCCAGGAGACTGGGCCCCAGGCCTCCGAAAGCCGTCGACGAAGATCTTTACAAAATACCCCCTGAGCTCCTCAACTCCTCCAAACGGGTCGGTTCCTTCCCTCACTAATTTAGCATTTCGACTTCCATTCTTTAAATGTACAAACCGAAAGGAAAATAAGATAATCATAATTAATATTAAGTGTGAAAATTAAATATCAAAAATAACAAAAAAACCAATAACTAACATAAGAAAGATTATTTCATTCTTTGACAATTGATATATCTATTAGTAAAAAATAATTGATAAATTAGTCGATTTAACATATTTATTATTAATATTAAGTAATTTAGTTAGTTAAAAATTTTCTTATTTTGAATTTAAATTAAAAATAACAATTTTTAATGAATATATTATAAAATATATTGATTTATAGTATGTACAAGTTATTATTTATTTGTCAAATAATAAGCTTTTGGTCTACATATTTTTGAAATAAAAATTAATTTAGGAACTGTTTGATGTCATTTTGGATTATTGACGTCACAGAAATCAAACCAAATTCACTTTATGTTTCTTGAATTGACATGTATATTTTCCATTCCCACAGAAGAAAATGCCAGGATTTTTTGCATGTTTGGTTCCTGCTTGTGCATCATGAATTGGCTTGGAAGGAAGCTGCTCTGGGCCTTTGGCAAGGAACGTGTGTATGGAAGATTTAATTATGAGTTTTGTGGCCTACATTATGATCTCCTTTTTATTTGTTTTATCCTATATAACAAAAAAAAGGTTTTATAATGTTTTTGAGTTAAACCAAGCTATTTACTATATGCATAGCAAGAATGAGAATTGAAACGGTTATTATAATAGTAAACGCTTCTCTTCAATTTTTATTTTTGGTTTCTTAGCTTTTCCACGTCTCAAAGCTAATCCCTTTCCAATTAATCATAAAGGCACACTCCTTGTATCAATTTAGTACATTTAAAGAAAATTAATTTTTTTGAGTGTTGACTCTAAAATTTGAGTTAATTTCTTTGGATGTAGGCCTTAAGATTTAAATATTGGACCTAACTCTACTAGAAAACAGAATATAAATAACAAGAATATAGTCGATAGTAAAAAATTTATCGATTATACTTATACAATCAATCAAAATTCTATCGATTATATCAATGAGTCAATTCTATGGGGTATAATCAATAGTCAGTAGTGGCTGTTAATTATGCATGTATAATTGACAATCAATTCTGGTAACAATCAATAGTAACTATCGATTATATCAAAATTTTATAAATATATATGTTAATATTTAACCTTCCACTAGTAACATTTATAATTATTACATATTTTGTAAATCATAAATTTGATAATAAAAATTTAACACTATCAAATGTGAAATTATTTTTTATTAATACTATATACATTTTGTGTATATATAATAACAAAATTAACTATAAATATGTAGTGTTAGAATTGATAATTTCATTAAAGTAGACATATGTATAATATTAGTTAAAAATAATCTCACATTTGATAGTGTTAAATTTTTGGAAAGTAATCTTACCACCCTCGATTCAACGCATTTTTTGACATGCTTTCGGTTCAACCTTAAACACATAATATAAATATGGTCGATTCAATCAATTCCTATATCTTGTGTACATGATTATATCTCTAAACTTGTCTGCTTTTAATTTCAGAATAAGGAATAATGATTTTTTAATAAGTGTGTTATACAGTGCGTTGAACCAAAGTGTGTATCAATCACTGTCTTAAAATTTTATTACTAAATTTATTATTTACGAGATATATAATATTTATAGATGTTATTAGTGGAAGATTAAATATTAACATTTATATTTATAAATTTTTTACACTTATAATCAACAATTATTGGTGGTTGATTATGCAAGTATAGTGGTTGTTGATTATCCAAGTATAGTGGTTGTCAATTATACTCATATCGCCTTTTCCACTTAAAAAAAGTTAAATTTCACAGTTGATCTAATTTGAAACATAATCGACAACCATTTTAAAACGTAATTGACAAAATTTTTGCCAAATATATTCTATCTATATATATGGACACATAAACATAATCAGCAAATATCTTCTCATGTTTTCTATCTTCTCATTTTTTCTTACTTCTCCCCTCCTCCTTTCTTTCCCACAGATGTTTGACCCGTTTCCCTTCTCCCTCTATTTTTACTCTCCCTTTCATTTTTATTTTTCTTTCTTCTTTCTTCTTCTCACTTTCCTTCTACCTTTCCAATTCTTGCATTGCATGTCTTCATCTTTCCCTCTTGTTTCTACTTTCTACTCTTCTTTCATCATTCCTTCTACCTTTCCTATTTTCATTTTTGGTTGCCATCCTTCTACTTTTCCTTCATTTTCTTTCACTCTTTCATCTCAAGTTTTTTATTTTCTTTTATTTATTTATTTTATTATTTTCATTTATCATCCAATTAT